CTAGCCACCGAGCCTTGAGACGTTGGAACCATCATCGCAAGGGTCGGTATAGATGACATAGCTACACTTTCACGTGTGCATGTACGAACATATTTATCACAAAGGCTGCCTGAGGACCTAAGCCAGTTGTTGACAGCCTGTTAAACCGAGTCGCACCCTTTACTTACAGTTCAGCCTCTGCGGGATAACCTGAGTGTGTGTATAAACAAATACAGTAAACAAAAGCATAAATGACTAATAACTTCATTATATGTGTATATGTACATATGCACCCCAACCTGGGACCCAAACAGGGGTTCGAGTCTCTGGGTTGCCACGTTGCCAACCGAAGTGTTCAAGCAGCACGTCCACGTAGGACTCAAGCTTTGGTATAAAATTCTCTCTCTGACGTACCAGCACAGCAACATCTTCCCAAGGCTGTTGCTCGACAACAGCATGGCATCTGTGTAAAGGCTTAGGCTTTAGGTAGTATAGGGGCCTTAATACCTGGAATAGGGTTTTGGGTGTACATTACAGTAGAGTTGCCAAGGGAGACCTGCAACAGAGTTGATTGGATTTGAGGCTACTGGCAGCAGGCCTCTACAGTCTGCGGCACGGGCACGTCAATCACGTGCTCGACGTGCACGACGCTGCTCCGCTCCTGCTTTGAAACGGAGCTGATAACACAAAACGTTACCACATCGGCTATTGCTCGCTGTCTGTCTCCCTGTGTCCATTTCAAAACTCTTCCTGTTCGCTCTGTCTCCGTCTTGGTGTTCTTTCATCTTTCCTCTATCGTTGTTTCCTATTATCCTTATACTCTGGGACACTCTCTCTTTCCCTTTGCAGCACACCCGCAAGCATCTCGCACGACTTGACCCAATCAAGGCTACATGAATCAGTAAGACTTCTTTTGCACCAGTGTCCTCGAAAGAGAAACCTGCGTATACGCTCACCCACCTGTGTCATACGCTCTGGGCCACACGTGTCCCCAAACAGCAAATTGCTTTGGCCTTCAGCGGTCCCTATACAGGTACTGGGGCCAAATCATATGCTGTTTGGGTACCCTAAACCCTAAACCCTAAACCCTACAAAACAATGCCGGGCTCTCAGCAGTCCTGTCTGATGATCTTCGGAACATGCACCACCTCGCCAGGTCGGGAGTTTAGGGGGTTCTTAAGGGATTAGGGTACAGGGCCCTAAACCCTACACGCCGAGGGATGGTTTGGTAGAGTTGTGGCCCTAAACCCTAAACCCCAAACCCTAAACCCTCGTTTCAAGTCAATAAGATCTACATTTCATTCCTGTCCGTTGCTTTGCATTCCATCGCAATGATGATGCAACGTTATGCCGGATGCATACATACCATACCAGTGCCACTGTCATGATCATTCCGGTCCGGTACAGGGACCGTAAAACCTAAACCCTAAACCCTTACAGTACCCAGTACCCTTATGTAGAACTCTGATAGTGCCCATCTATGTGTATATATGCATATCTATATATATATATATATATGTGTGTATGCATACACATATTATGTATACATATATATATATATATAGATAGACAGATAGATAGATAGAACCCTTGTAGAAAAAAACACAAACTGAAAGCACCCTTCGGCTCATGGCACCCTCCGGATTCGGGAGCCATGTATTCCGGCGAACAAAGGATGTACACTCCCCGAGACGCAGCCCTTTCTGCAGGGTTGGGGGTAGGTTTAGGGGTAGGTTCAAACCCTGAATCTCTAAACGGTTTCGGGTTTAGGGTTTAGGGTCGGTAATGTACAGGCCTTCAAGGATTAGAATAGGATTTTGGGGTATATTGTACTATCAGTATCAAAAGGAACCCCAAAAATAGTACAGGTAATTATGTAGACCGTAGGTTTCGGGCTTCGGACCCAGGATTTATGGTTGAAGGTTTATTTGGAGTTCCGACTTCGGACTTAGGGTCTGAAGCTAAAGCCCTGCCTTAACTGGCAGGACTAGAGAAGTCCTACAACTCAGCAAGAAACCAACAGCAGCTTCTCTCTGGGAGCTGAGTACCTTAGCGCAGCAAAAAAGTCAGGGTTTAGGGTTTAGGGGTTTAGGGTTTAGGGTTTAGGGTTTAGGGTTTATAGGGTTGAGGGGTTTAGGCTTTAGAGATGTTTCGAGTAAGCGTTCACCTGTGGCAGAGTGATATGTGCCCGGAAAGATCCACCCAGCCTCCTCAGTCCCCCAAGCCCATGCAATCCCAAAGCATATGGGGGGTTGATCCATACTACTGTTCCGATGAGTGACCATTCAATACCCCCTGCGCCCGCCCTTGCGCACTCTCGCGTGTTTCTTGTGCGCGCGCGAGTTTTTCACGCCTGCAGCTGGTATGATCATGAACCTCAAGTATCTTGAATACCAAAACATGACCCAATCTTGCATCGCAAATGCTGTGTTTTCGGGCTGGAGGCTTAGGAAAGGAAGGCTCCAAGATCTGAAACACACCATGGGGAAAGCTCTGTCCCATGTTGATATAACATATATAGCCATGGTACTGCCCTTGTGCGCTCTTGCGCCCGCCCTTGCACGTTCTTTCGCGCACACCACGTTTTGAAGGCAATTTCGATAGTGACCATCAAGGGGTTTTGCATCAACCCTCATATGCAGTTCCAAAAAGTTTCTTGGAAACTCCGTTGCTAGCTTGCTCTTGCATTTGCGGACTATGACAGCCCTGCTCAACCAAGTTACAAGCCTTAGATTATGTAAAACAACATGAACAACGCAAGACATATTGCATAGTTTTCAAACAAAATTTAGGTATAATCCTTACTGTTCGGGGTATTGGGCCTGCTCCTGCACGACCGGCACTGGAATCTCGACAAGCTGCTCAACCGTCTGGTGCACGATCTCAGTTGGGGGTTTATAGGGCTTTTAGTACCCGGCTTTAGGATCTAGGTAGTTTAGGATTTAAGGCTTCGGGAAGTAAGTTTAGGTCCAGGTGCAGCTTCTGCTGCAACAGCCCTAATTCCTATGCCCCCTCTCCCCAACTGCCTACTTCGTCCATCCGGAAACCTATCCACCGTCGGTATGATAACTCTTGATGTCGCAGTAACCCTAAACCCTAAACCCTAAACCCTAACACCAGCCAGACTCTCTGAAAGTGACCTTTCGATCTGATCCATCTTGCCTAAACCCTAAACCCTAAACCCCAAACCCTAAACCCTAAACCCTAAACCCTAAACGCTAAACGCTAAACCCTAAACCCTAAACCCTAAACCCTAAACCTTTTTGAGGCTGCGGCTCTCTCCTGCTGCACCACCTTCGGGACATGCACTGTCTCCTGGTTGAGGGCTTAAGGTTTGCAGGCTTTAGGATTAAGGGCTTGTAGGGCTTATAGGGTTTATAGGGTTTGGGAGGCTTAGGGTTTAGGGCTTATAGGGATAAGGATTAGGGCTTGTAGGGTTTATGGGGTTTGGGATTAGGGCTTAGGGTTTAGGGTTTAGGGCTTATAGGGTTTATAGGGTTTAGGATTAGGGCTTATAGGGTTTATGGGGCTTGTAGGGTTTAGGATTAGGGTTTAGGGTTTAGGGCTTATAGGGTGTAGGGCTTTTAGGGTTTAGGGCTTATAGGGTTTAGGATTAGGGCCTATAGGGTTTAGGGTTTAGTGCTTCTGAACACAGAAGGAGATCTCATCGCCAGACTTTTGGAGTTTGCAGATGTTTAAGGGCGCACGGAGTCAGCAAGAACCTACGGCTCCTTGATATGATTTCCTTAAAAAGATCCCTAAACAAGTGGTCTTGTGGATTCAAAGTGGGGTTTCGGGTGCATGGATTCGGCAAGCTATGGGTAGTCCCCTAAACCCTAAGCCCTTAACCCTAAAAGCCTTAAAGCCTAAACCCTCAACCCCTAAGCCTAAACCCTAATCCTAAACCCCATAAACTCTAAAGCCCTAAACCCTGAACCCTAAACCCCTAACCCTGAACCCTAAACCCCTAAAGCCTATAAACCCTATAAGCCTAAGTCCTGAACCTTAAACCCTGAACCCTGAACCCTAAACCCCTAAAGCCTATAAACCCTATAAGCCTAAATCCTGAACCCTAAACCCTGAACCCTAAACCCCTGACCCTGAACCCTAAACCCCTAAAGCCTATAAACCCTATAAGCCTAAATCCTGAACCCTAAACCCTGAACCCTAAACCCCTAACCCTGAACCCTAAACCCCTAAAGCCTATAAACCCTATAAGCCTAAACCCTGAACCCTAAACCCTGAACCCTAAACCCCTAGAGCCTATAAACCCTATAAACCCTAAACCCTAAAGTTATGAGGCTCCTCGATGTGATGCGGAACGTGGACATCGATGATCTGCTCCACCTCGTTGTGATGATGCCGGTACTGGCTGACGACCTGGCGCGCCCATTGCCGGGTCGTTTTAGGGTTTAGAGTTTAGAGTTTAGGGTTTAGGGTTTAGGGTTTAGGGTTAAGAGTTTAGAGTTTAGGGTTTAGGGTGAGACGCCGAAACCCAAAACTTTCAGAATTTGAGCTATATACTTTATGAAATGATAAGGATCCCTAAACCTTTCTATGGCTCAAGGCCCGGATATTGCCCTGTTGGAGAAGCGGGTACACAGGAAGCAGCCAAACAGACCGAAAGCTGTTCGAGAAGTGAGGTATGGCTTTTGTTTAACAGACCGAAAGCTGTTCGAGAAGT